GAGAAAAAAATGGGCGTTAGCTGAACACCTGCAAGACTGCAAGTGTGGCCAATGAATGGACAGGAGAATAATGTGTGTTAATGCCCTTGAGCTTTGCAAGTCGTTCCTCACTTCCCAGCTGCCGCTTTGCACAGGCCATTGGATGGCATCCCAGAAGAGGCCAACGTGGCATCCAAGTTGCTAGTGCCAACGTGTCTCGCAGGATTGGAAAGGTACCAGCCGCGGCCGCAGAGAAGCTGGGGGGGCCTTTTGAGGCTAAAGTGATCTGGGGGTTCTCAAAATAGAGGGGCTTTCAGAAATGGTGTCCTTTGTGGGGTTCAGAAATTTCAACCAGTAGCGCCGAAAGGGCACCAATGGTCCTTTTGGCCTGCCCGTGTTTTTCTGGGGCCGCCGATCTTTCAGCAGGAACCCCAAGGCGAAAGGCAGCAAGCCGTTCCGCAGCTAGATCCGAGGTGCACAGGCTGGCTATCCGTTTGGTCAGGCGGGGCTTCTCGTGTTCTTGACGGTCACCTGTGGATTCCCTACAAGCTTCAACTGGTTTTGGGAAGGGTTTCCCTTGTGGCGTCTGAGGTCAAGTTTTTTGTTTTTTTGTTTTTGGCTTTTAAGATGGCAACTTGTTTACCTCTTCCCAGTGCCTCGCGGTTCAACCACCAGTGGTTTTGGGGACGTCCAACAATAGAATCGACACACCCAGCCTCAGAAATGGTTGCAACCAACTTTACTGGTGGGGTGGTGAGGGAAACTACAAGGAACACCACCTTTTGTGGGTGGGTCCAGCCTTAAAAACGACACCCAGCCATGCAACCCGACGTGGAGTCCTTGAGCCTTCGAACGCCGAGAGGCAGTGCCCACGAAGCCGCCTTCTGCACCGCCACCGCAGCCTCCAGCCAACATGGCGCGGGACGCGCGGTGTGTCTCTTCGTGTCTGTGTCTGTGTGCGTTGGGGGGGGGGGTGATGCATATTCCATTTAGGGCCGGCACATATCGAATCTTTTTCGTGGGTTTTCCAACCGATGGTCATCCCATTGTAAAAGACCCTACCATCATTTGAGGGGTTCTCTCAAAATGGCTTACGAATGTCCCTCTTTTGGTTGGTATTTGGAGGGGAACCCAAAAGGAGCACACCCCATTTTGAGGCTCCAAATCCTACTTTTTGAGAACGCCTTCGACTCGTGGATCCTCCAAAGCGGTGTTTCCATTCGGTGTGCCTAGCCCAACATAAGCGTCCATCGGCCAGGGCCCAAAGGCGTCCGGCGCCCAGTTTGAGCACTTCTGATGGACGAAATCCGCGAGTCTCGCACCACGGCTAAGGAGTTGTCATGGTTGCAACCATAACCTTAGTTGGCATGCACGTTGGGGAATCGAATCATTCCGTTGGGTTTCTGATCTCCGTGGGTGCGATTTCTGGAGTTCGCAACCATCCACTAGGAATTGGACCACCCCAAAGTTTCAAAAAGACCAAGAACAAGGGGTACCGAGCCTCAAAGACAGAAGAACTGCTGGTCCAGGTCCCTTAGACCGATCCACAAAGCGCGATCCACATGTGACGTGAGCAAGCTGCCGCCAGGGAAGCTGCAGGCCGGGAGTCGGGAGTTTGCGAGCAAGAGAAGTGCAGCAATGGACTTGGCAGTTTGGCTTGATGCAACGGGTCTAAGAGTCTAAGATTTCTAAGGGTCCAAGATGTTCCCAGTTTCTCTGCATTTTGGCGCTGCTCGGGATTTGCCAGATTCTTGAGGGACTTCGCAAGGATTTCTGTTGGCTTCACGGTCTCACTCCCTGAGTGCCTGGACTTTGGCCCATTTTGTTGACCGTTTTGGAGGCGAAACAAAAGAAGTTCAGGCGGTTTTGGTCCAATCCACTCATGGCCGCTTTTTGACCGTTTTAGTGGTAAACAAACGGTTCTTTGACGCTTTTTGGCCCACCCACTCAGCAAGTGAGCAGTTGTTTCAAGCAAAGAGATCCCACTTCCGTCATGAGTCTTGACTTTGCCAGCTCGCGGCAGTGGGCGCCTGAGTTGCCCAAAAAGGGCGCTCTGGAGGAATGAGTCGCACGGGTGTGTGTCTCGCACGTCCCCCAAAATGGGCGGCTCGTCCTTTTGGGCACTCCCTTTTTGGGGCGATGAAAACCCTACTGTGGATGGACAAAATCCTGCACCTCTTGGAAACTATGATGAAATGATTGTTTGTTGGTATTTACAGGGGAATCATCATTCCATGGTTTCTTAGGTGGTGCGGGGATATCGCCCATGCACAGTATCTTCGAGACATCTTCTATGTTTCGCTTCACACCTTTCATGAGTAGCGTGTTCTGTCGGGGACCAAATGCCCCCAGTTCAGACGCTCAAATTCTTTTTCATGACCTAGGGCTTCAAGCTTCCGGCACCAATGCAATCCCTTTGCCAGAAGGCGCACACCAAAAGGAACACACGCGCCCATCTGGGGTCTGCCTATTTGTGAGCCTCTGTTTTAAAAGGACGCCAAAAGGGAAACTTTAACTATGTCCCCCAGTAGTGTTCTTTTACCCCTTTTTTGGGGGAGGGTTCCCCTACTAAACCAGACAAACCAGCAAAAACATCGGGTACCCTTATTCGAACCCCTCTACTGGAGGACCTAGTTACCCAGTGCCCCTGTTTTGCAGGCGGGCATCTAGGGACAGACCTATCGCGAAGCGACCTAATGCTGGGTGTTTAAAGGAAGCCAAGAGGGAAACCATATCAGTGCATAGAAGGTTGAACCAATTTTTGGTGAACCAATTTTTTGAGTGATTGGTTCACCATCCATAGAAGCTTGCGGGGGTTCACTCCAAAATTTTCACGCGATCAATTCATCGCCCTCCGAAGGGGACGTGCAAGCGGAGCTCGCGCGGATGCAGCCGCCGGAAGCTCAGCTTGTTGCATTTTGCCTGGCAAAGCCATCCAGTGCATTTTGCCGGGGTTCCTTGCCCCCAGTAAAACAGAGGTCTACCCAACTTAGATGGTGACAGTCCTTAAAAAAATGATGCTTAATTCTATAAACCCCCTCTCGTTTTGATGGTGGTAGCTGAATCCTAGGGATCCTTTGTGCCTGGTTTCTTGGGTGCATTTTGCCAAGGGATGTTAGGGCTTCAATGATTTTTCCCAACGAATTTGGGTTTTCCGGTGTTAAACCACTAAAAGTTGAAAACTTTTAGCAGGGGAGCAGAAAGCAACCAAGGCTTCATAGGGATGACCGGACCTTATGAACCCAACAATTCTGATTGAAGCGCGCTTTGCAAACCATCCATGTCTTCTCCTTCCAGCTGTTCACAGAGGAAACGGGCGCGGCTCACGTGTCTTTTTGTTGGATGTGACTCGCGATCCATTCCTGGCTTTCCTTGGCGTGAGGCCCCCGCCTCTGCAAGCCGTGCCGGCTCCGCAGCCCACCGGCATGCCCCAGGCCGGGTTTTGGAGCCGAAGGAGGTTTGCCATGGAGGAAGTTCTTCTGCGCATGGTCGAAACAAGTAGGAATGGGTGTGGTTCCTTTTTTTGGGGGGGATACTCAATTTTTGGTAGCCTCCCGGCGAGCTCTGTGAGCTCATGGCGCAGCGCTTAGATCGACAGAATGCCACAATGGGAAAAACACATGGGGGATACTCAAGTTTTGGTAGGCTTTCTGCATGGGACTGCGAGTGCGTGCCGGCGCGAGTGCTCGCCCGTGCCGCGCTGCGCAGGGCGCTCCGCCGGCGGTCTCGCCGCCGCAGGCGGATCTCAAGGGATCGAGACGAGTTGCCATGAGTCACATGCCAGGGTTGTGGGATCACAAGGGGCTTATTCCCACTGTGTATCACAGAAGTGGTCATTTCCCACAACCCTGCCACATGCTGAAGCAGACCTGCGAACCTTTGGCTGGCAGGGCATGAATATTCCTCCTATGCCTGCAGGGCTGTCAGCAGAGGCGCCGACCTTTTTTTTGGTCTGCAGCTTGGGCGGGGCCGTTTTTCTTTTTTTGTGACTGACAGGAGCAGCGGAAATTCCAGCAGATCTATGGATCTACCCCTCAGGCCGATTTTGGTGTTCTGTGCTTGGCCTATAAGTGAAAAGTGGGTGTGTCTTTTTTGGAGGGTACCGTTTTGACCTGGTTGGAAGGGGAAGTCAACTTGAACAAGGAATTATCAGCGTTTCCCTATTTGCCTGTCTTTCTTTGGGGGAACCCGACAAAAGGACACCAGCCGCTAGCAAGGGCTTTTTTTGGGGGGGGTTCAACCCTATTTTAAGAGACGCCCATTCCTTTGACCACCCGCGTCGAAAGGCAAAACCGGGCGCCAGGCCGCGCAGGCGCTGAAGGAGAAGTATGGCCTCGTGGGCATCCTCGAGGTCGATCCGACCGGGTCGATGCGGGTGATGGGATCCCACGTAGCTGTCTTGTCCTTTGGAGTTGGTGCCCCACGTGTTTGGGGTGTTTTAAAGGGAACCCGCCAGGAAGACCAAAGCCATTTTTTTGTATTGTTTTGTTTGGGGGGGAAGGGAGGTGAAACCTTAAAAAAGACAGGCATGTGAGAGTTTGGTGGGCCATGGACTTTACAGATTTGTGACAAGTCGCTGGCAGGTGGTTAGAATGCAGGATCCGCATCTGAGCACTTTGGCTCTTGGTATGGATCTCACTGGCACGCATCTCAGACCTGTCTCACCCAATCAGCATCTCGCCTCAACTGACAAATTGAGAGACGCAGCTGTTGCCATACTGACTCAGCTCTGGGGAACATGAACTTCCCGGATGCCTTTCACTTCAATCTGGCGCAACTCCGGCATGTCGAAGTTCACGGCCGGATAAGGGTGTGTCTTTGTTCTTTTTTTGAAGCCCTTATTCTTTTGGTTTGCCGTTCAAACCACCAAGAAAGGGCACCCTCAAAAAGAGGAACCACGCCCACATGGGCTTTTCTTACCTGGCTGCATGATGGGCCAAGATGTTGTTAGCACATGGATGCTGGCAGTTCAATGGGTCTCAGCCAGAAGGCAAAAGTTGTTTTGACCGTCCTGGCCAGCCATGGCCACGCTTTCTGCCACAAAACCCAAGATGTGCGTCAAATAGGGAGACCCCAACATGTTCCCTCTTGGTGCTCTTTGAAGCCAACCCAAAAAGAGGTACCCCCCCTCCCCCCCAAAAAAGAAGAAAGAACACAGCACAAGTGTGAGTCGCCCCGCCTTGATCTGGCCAGGTCAGATCAGCCGTTGCGGAGGGATCCGGACTATAATCTGCCCCACAGCCCCCCGGCATTTTTTTTGGTTTCCTTTTACTTGGCGGCTCCCTGCCATCTGGTTCCTTGGCTTTTTCGCGGTTTATTTGGTCTTAACCCACTAAAAGGCAGGCAACCAAAACGCGGGTTATAAGCTGGTTCGATCATCTTCCATGTTTCGCAAGCGCGCAGACCCAAGGTTACTACATGAATCCACCGGTGATGAAGCAGGCGCGTGCAACCGTGAAAACGAGACTCTTGAAGCGCCGAACTGACGCGATGCGATGTCAGGGCCACCTGCAGAAGTTCGCAGTGGAGACGCTTTTCTACATGTTCTTCAACATGCCGAAAGAGCTCTACCAGGCTCCGAAGCCCTTTTCGGACTGAAAACGGCAAAACATGTATGGGTCAAAACTAAATCACCAGGACACGGACCACAGGGTAGATTGTTATTGATTCCATTTTCCGATCGGGCAACCCATCTTGGGGTTGCCAACCTTTTGTGCTTCACTGTTCTTGGCAAGTTTGCTCTTCCCGTTTTTTTGGTTCTGCTCATTCTCAGTTTTCGGGGCTGCAAAAAGCAGAACCAGTCTTTTGCAAGGCCATACCAAGGGTGAAATTTGACAAAGACAGCTCGTTTAAAAAAAAAAAAAAACAAAAAAAACAAAAAAACACACATGCCCCTGTTGGTCTCTTGGTTGGGGGGAAAAATAATTTCGCCACGTGGTTGTGATCAGACGGAAGCTTTCCCGCCAGCCCTTCATTGGGGGAAGCCGCTGTGGCCGAGAACCTTTGGCTTTGTAGAGGTTCCAAGGCCCAAAGCAGTGAGCGGCAAAGGACTCGCCCAGTCCCGTGAGGCCTCGTCAGCAGTGGAGTTGTGCGCCAGTCGTCTTGTTTGGACCATGGACTGGTCTTCTCTCAAGATGCTTGGGGGTTGCAGGGAGAGGAAAGCAGAGGTGGGTCTGTCTCCTGTTGGGATATTGGAATTTCAAAAAGTCATCGGTGTTGCTTTTGTATTCCCTTTCGCGCCAAACAAGGGGGGATACCAACTCCGAAAAGATTTGAGCCCCAGGTATAGCCGTGGCTGGAGATACCACAAAGTGGAGAAGACCTGGTTTGCCTTACAGGCCTGCCTCTTCGCTTTTTCGCCTCTGGCCGCCTGGTTTGAAAAATCCTCAGGAAGACCAGGCGAGAAACCTCCGGTGGGTCTACTTTGACCCCAACACCTGGGAGAAGAAGTATGCCACCAAGCATGCCTGGGCCTGTGACCGACTCATTTTTTTTCTTGCGAGTGCGAGAGATGGGGCCCTGAGAAATGGAATGACCCCGAGAACATTTATCCGGTTCCCAAGGTTTCCTTTAAAAAGACCTTTGGGTTCATTCCATTTCTCATTCCTGAATGAGCTCCAGCAAGTTGAGCATGGAGTCGGGGGTCGTCAGGGGCGGGGGAGGAGGGGGGGCCCTCAGGAACCCGTTTTGGAACCCGTTTTGGAACCCGTTTTGGAACCCGTTTTGGAACCCTTGTTTCCTCACACTTCACGGAGACATGCACTGCCCTGGCACGTTAGAGCATTGCTGCCACTTGCGATCCACTGAGGTAGAGCAGAGTGGGTTTCTCACCGAGGACAGGCAAACCTACGGGACGCCTGGCGCTTTTTCAGGAATAGACACCGGAGATGTGAGATATGCTGGTACTCAAAAGGCAGGCTTGATGTGACTGATGCAAACGACCAATTTTCGCAGGGAGTCGTTTGCTGGGTTGAAATGATCTCAATGCACTTTGCCTCCACACCCAGCCGCAGGAGGAGGTGAGTCTCTCGCCATCGAGCTAATACGAGCTAGCCGGCCCAACGTGGCTTGGTACCATTATGTCGATCCGGAGAAGTGCGCCAACAACTCGCGCGAAAAGGCCGCAGGGCCGAGCCATTTCATGCGACTTAGCCTTTTCTCGAGTCAGCCCCAACGGAGTAGGGCCTGTGAAGCAAGCTCAAATGCCGCCAAGCTGCGGGGATCAAGCCGTTGCATGGTGCAACATGGCTAGCCATGCAGGCGCTGTCTCTCTTGCTTGGTGTGGGTGCGGTGAAGTTGCCAATTGCCCTGTGAGCTGTCGGACAGGTGAGACCTTGTGATTGACAGGAAGCTGATCCCAGGCAGGTTTTGAGCGACTGCAGCGGTCCTTCGACGTGAGCTTTCCTAGCCACACGTTTGGTGTGCAGCTGGCGCCAGGATGGGCGCTGGGCCATTGCATGCCGATTGCAGCAGGAGCTATGAGTTCTGAGAGATGTGAGCCACATTCGTAGGCCAATGGATATGGGGTCTCTGACAAATCCGAAAATTGACGCCTCGCGTGCCAGGATCTGCGAGACGAGCGTCGAGGCCGATGGCCAGTGGGGCTTGCGAGTATAGGATGGAGGGGAGTACCCTTCAGGCGATTCCATGGAAGCTGACCCTCAAGACTTCTCCTGAGGGGTGCCTGGGGAGGTCGATGGAATCGGGGGATAATTGTGTGTGTGTGTGTGTGTGTGTGTGTGTGTGTGTGTGTGTGTGTGTGTGTGTGCGCGTCTTTCTTTTTTTCATCGGACCCCAAAATGGATCTCGGCTTTCCTTTTCCCCTTCCCCTCCCCCCCGCTGAAAAAATGGTGTCACCCTCCACAAAAGACGCGCCCAGCTTGACGTACTGTGGGTGAGGACCGCCGTGTCGAGTGCGTGACGTCAGGCCGGGGCCTTTTGGGGCTTGAGGGGGGCTGAGAGGCTGGAGAGCGCTCAGTTCTTGAAGACATCGCTCGGCTGCATCTTAAACGCCGTTTCGCTGGCACAAGGGTTCGACACAGATGGGCAATGTAATTCAATTGAAGGTGGAAACGCTGGGAAAATGAGCGTGTCAAGAGCATGAGCACGTGACAAGTAGCAACCAACTCAAGAGGCGGCGACAGATGCATCCAGGACCAAATTCAGCACTGAGTCGCATCAGCATGTGTTCGGCCATCACAGACGGGTCAGCACTGATCATGTAAGGTATCAATATGTTGCTTCTGCTGATGTACAGCAATGTCAATAAGTAGGTTTGTCTCAAAATAGGGGAACCCCAAACGGGTGGTTGAAGAGAGGTTGGAATCAGGCCCTCCATTTCAGGGGAGGGCCTTTCCAGGAGGACTTCAGCATTCCAAACCATCCTGCAACTTCCATGATGGTTGAGGATAATATCAGGGACTGAAGAAGTACTAACCGTATTTTCCCATAGGTCATGACTTAAGAGTCATTTTTTCCCATGGTCATGACCTAGAATCAATGTTAGCCCCCCCCCAATCTAAAAAACATGTAGCACGCATGTCTCACGTTTTCGGCGAGAGAGCGTCCTACGGCTGACTCGGCGCCAGGCCGAGACCCCGACCGGGTGGTGCTGGCTTGTGCCATCCTTAGATCTGATTTCTGACGGAGTGGTCTGGTGCTCGGCTGTGGCTCAAAAGAAGGCACCAAACTGGCACCCGAAAGGTAGACCTTGGTAAGTGGAAGACGAAAAGTTGCGCTTTGCTTTCAGCCACACCCTGGTTGGCTTCCTTTAGTCGCCACAAGAAAACAGACCAAAAGAGGGGCACGCGCAAACCGCCAACACCGACACACCTAATCCTCGGGCCAATTTAGATGTGGATCCTACAGTTTGGCTCAGAGATGCAAGCCTCCAAATATCAGTTTTGTTTGTGCTTGGAGCGTGGCTCTCAATAGCATGCTTGTCCTAAACATATTCAATGGTGCCCACCGAAGAACAGAGGGTTGCTAGTCCGGAGCACGTGCACTCGGATGACATCCTGACATCCTTTGGGCCAGCATGCAATGCAAGGTCCTCAAGGCCAGCCACGGTTGGCCATGAACTTCCATGAAGCCCAGGTATTCATGACCAATCAGGTTGTTCATTTGTGTCAGTTGGGTCAAGCCCGGTCTCTCAAAAGTGGGTCAAACATCACCGAGTCACGAAGGGGAGGTGCTTGGCACATGGCATATAATAGAAACTAGCTCGCAGAAGCCTGACGCCCAACTATCCTCTGTTGCAAGGGGAAGCTGCTCGCCATGCTGATCTTTTTTGTGCTCAGAGGCAATCAGCAGATGGGCAAAAGATTAACCTGTTGACCAAGGTGCCTTCTTTGTACACTTTTTTGAGCCCCAGCCAAGCGGTTTTTTGTTCCCCCCAGATTCGAGGGGTTTGACTCCCGGCTCGCCGAGGGGACTCTGCAAGCCCAAGAAGCCACGAGGCTTCGAGGCGCGGGTGTTTTCTGCGTGACACGTCGGACGTCGGGGCAGCCGCAGACTGCGCAGTGCCATGCTTACACTTGCGATCGCTGCAGAAAACCCATACTGAGCACCAGCAAGTAGGATCTTTACGTTTGCATGCTTGGCCTCCCGAACGCGGCGTGCTGCCAAGCACGAACTCGTTGTGAGTTGTAAAGCTTTTGCACTTGGAGTGAGCTGTAACATGGCTGTGGGTCAAAAACATCTTAGTCTATTTTAGTGGTTGGACTGGGATGTTCACTGGGACGGGAATGTGACCCATGGCCACATATCCACCCGCCCGCGCTCAACTTGCCAGGAGCTCTACGAAGTCAGCACCTTCAGAGTATAGGACCGCCTGACTCCGGCGTATGAAGCTTGACTCGGGATCATTCCGCTAGGATCCGCTTCTACAACTTCAACATGGGGAACAGCAGCTCTGAGAGAAGGGGACGTGGGATCTCATGCTTGATTCATAGAGGCCAACAGGGGACAGTAGACTTTGCTGAACCACCATGCCAAGGAGTATGTTTCCCATGAAGCAGTTGGCAGACAATGCTTTCCTTTGTACATGTGTAAGGATTCTCAGTCGCGGCAGACAAGAGTAGCCACCTCCCTCCGTACCACAAATCCGCACGGCAGCCACCAGTTAGCACCAGTTGAGACAAGGCGCAAGGGTTCCTATATTTCCCTGTTTGGTGGTTTTACACATCGCCATTTCGGCCCACTTCCGCTTATTTTCTTTCGGCGGTGATTTTTTGTTGGGAGACGTTTCAGGCAACCCTGGATTGGTGGTTTGGGGATTTTGACCGCTGGTTCTTGCAAGGGGCTAGATGGGAACCACTCTCCGACCAAAAACCACAGGGCTCCAAGCCACCAATTAGAGGGACGCTTTCTTAGGGGACTTCCCCCCCCAACAAAAAACAGAGCATTAAAAAAACACCGAGAAAAGGGGCCACCCAGCTCCAACAAAACGGATCGCCCCCCGCGCCGAACTCGGGGAACTCGGAGAATTCCTCCGAGGCTCCAACTTCCAGTCGGTGGACCAGCTGCAGGGCCCGGGGGGCCGCGGGAAGTTTCAGGACGCCCTGGGCGAGCGCTTCGTGGACGGCCTCGCACCGGACGTGTCCTTCGCCACCTTCGTGGAGGTACGAGGGGACCTTAGGAGATAGGCGGATGGGGAAGGGCGTCGTTTCTTTTGGGGGCTCTTGGGTCGCTTGTTTTTCGTTTCAGGGGCTCTTGGGCCGTGTTTTTTTTTGGGTGGGGCGCTTGACTCGCCATCGGCAGACGCGGCTGAACTTCAGAGAGTGGATCGAGCAGTACATGGCAAAGCGGAGGCTTTTGGGCATGTGGCCGTGGGTCAAATTCCAAATCGTACCCCCAGTGAACATCCCAATCCAACCACTAAAATAGGCTCTAAAATGGGTGGTGAATTCACACCCCAAAATGGGATCCCATTGATATTGACCCACAGCCATGTGGGTCAGGCGATGATTTTTTTTAAGAGGCCTCATCTTGATATTCTGCTTGGCATGTCGAGCACTTGAGCAATTGTTTTTGGATATCGTTCTTGATTGCACATCCCTTGCAGATTGGTGTTGACATCGGTTTGCCGTGCCAGACCTGTTTCTCAGCCTGACCATCAGTGCCAGACCTTGAATGACAATGATATGGCCATGGGTCATAACCTATGGTTCCATTTTGGGGCGGATGAACACCCATGTACCACCTATTTTGTTCACCATGGGTACAGGGTTTTGACCCACAGGCATATCCTGAGAATCTCATGCCACAACCCCCATGCCAACCATCATCAACTGTGCATGTCAATGAGCTCCGAAGGCGCAGTCCAACCTGCGATTCTGTAAGTATCAAGCGCACATGTTGTTAGAGGACCCACAAAAAGTTGGTTTTCCTTTTGGCTTCCCTTTAAAGCCGCAGAACAATGGGGGGGGTCCTCGAAAGAAACGCGACACCCGGCACCCATCTCCAGTTTCACGCTGGAAGTTGCCTCACCTATGCTGCGCCAGTAGCTCCCGCCTGGACTCGCTGGTCGCGCAGAGCGCGCGGAGGGAGGCGCGCTTCTAGCGCGGACGGCTTCGGCGAGGGCTGGGAATGCGCTCGGGCTGAAGGGTCGCAGGGTTCTAAAAAGTCGGCTTTTTTTCGGTGCAACAAGGATTGGAGAACAAGGATTGGGCCTTCATTTCGCGGGGAGCAGGTGCGTAGATGTGAAAGGCAAAGGCGCGTCTCGTGCCAGGGCAAGAAGAGCAATCGCAACCTGATGCTGAGTCTGATGGAAGGCGCTGCCAGTCACGTTTCAGGTCACGTGGCGTGGACTACTGGAGCATGTTGGTTGGCCGGTGCATCGAATAGCTGACCAGCTGACCTGCCTCTCTTTCGGGGCAAGAGTGTCTGCTCACTTTAGCGAACACCATGCTTTGAGGCGGTTAATATGCCACTGCTGGTCTACAAGCCAGGTATTGCTGCCACCTACAATGGAAACCTCAAGTCCATGCTTGGCGCTCTGCGCTTCCAACCGCCCTCATCACATTTGTGTGTCTTTTTTTGGTTTCGGTTGTCCTTTTGGCTTTCCTTTAAAACCACCGAACCCTGGCACCCTCACAAAAGGAGACATCCATGTAAGAGAGTGCCAGAAGAGTGCAAGAAGCAGTGGACAGGTGGGGGCATCCAAACAGTTGGATAGCCCACTGTACACCAGTTAAAGCTGAGAAACTCAGTGGAGTCGCTCTTCATTTGGGAGACTCAGGCTGGCGTTCTGCAGCAAAGACTTTGTGGAGGACTGCCATTTTGCCAAGCCAAGTTGCATCGCATCCATAGGTGCTCCTTCTGGAAGAATACATGGCCCTGGTACATGGCTTGTAAAACCCATCTAGACCAGTACTATCTATTTTGTTTAATCCAGACAAACCGATCAAAAGGACACCTAAGGAGTGACATGTTTCGCGCATCAATCCGCAGGACAGCTCTGGCGGATTGTTCGGGAGACTCAACGAGCCAAGACTTGGAGGAGCAATCGAGCGATCGCTCGCAGGGGGGTGGAGACACTGCAAGAAAAAGCATGGCGCTCAGCGCATTTGGGTGTTTCCTTTCTGAGGGAAGCCATATTGTCTTGGGTTGCTTTCACAGGAAGCCAGAGGAACAACACACCCATTTTGGAGCACTTGCTTTATTTTGTTTTGTTTTGGGGTGGGGTGGGGGAGGGGGGGGTTTTTGTATTTGGAGACCAGCCCAATTCCGGCCGCGCTTTCGGAAGGAATGGTGCCCAATCCGAAGAAGGCGCTGGTCAACTTGCAGCGGTGGGGGCAGCGCAGGGTTTCGACAAGCCTTGCGCGTGTCTTACTTGAAATGGGGGTGTCTTTAAGTGGGGGACCCGACCCACAAAATCGCTTCGGGTTTCCGTCTTTTTTTTGGGGGGGACCCACCAAATCGCTTCGGGTTTCCGTTTGGTTGTCATTTAAAACCAGCGGGTAGCAGCAAGAAGAGCTACACCCGAATCTCCTATTTGGGGAGGGCCTGGACTCGTTCCCTGGACTCAGCAATGCCTGGGGACCTCTGATTTTGGTGGCGCCCAGCGAATCCGGTTCAGTGCTTGGGTCTCCGAATTTTTAACCGTAGGCGTCCTTTTTCGATTGGCTTGGAAAAAGAAACAGATGGTACTGGTTTAGATGGGCTTTATGCATCATTTGCCAGGATCATCTAGGTGTTGTTTCTGTTTTCAAAAGTGACACCTATGTATTCAAGCCACTCAAAGCTTCGTCCAACTTTTGGCCACGGGGATCCGAACACGGACCGCCCGTCGCAGGCCTTCATCGGTCGCAGCCTGGTCTTGCAGGGCGAGGCGGGCAGAGGCGCGGATCCGACCGGCGTTCGTCGCATGCGAATTTTGTGTGGCTGGGCAGCTCTTCCACCGAAAGCAAGAGCGCGTGGTGTTTTTTGGTATCTGAGGAGTAATCAGGTTTTTTCAGGCACAGCTGGAAGTAGATGGCACAGATCCCCTTCGATATGTGGTCAACCTTGTTGGTTTTGAGGCGTGCCCCATGTTCGCGAGAGGGAGCTGCCTGGGTCCCAAACGCCCGTAGCATTTTCCCATGCCCTTTGAAGCAAAGAAGGCCGCGGAACTGAAATCGAGAGGTTTACCTGGCCAGCATTTTGGTGGGCATGGATGTCCCAGTTTCCGGTGGGTGTTGGGGCGGGACCTTTTTTTCCGACGGAGGTCCCATGTGTTTTTTCTCGGTGTTTTTTTTTGGGGGGGCGGGGCTCCAAAGCCGGCGGGACGCTGGACGCTCCAATGAGGGGCCAACCCCGCAGCCAGGGATCCGGCTCAGCTTCGTGGGCACGCACTTCCCCATCTCCCAGGTGGCTGCCGCGCTGGAGGCGGCCTGGGTCGCAACCGCGTCGTGGGGGGTGGGGGGGGAAAGGTGGGGGGGGGGGCGTGTTTTTTTGGTTCTTGAGGTTGGTTTTGAAGGGACGCCCGAAGCCCACCGTTGTCTTGGTAGGGAGCCGTTCTTTTTTTTTGAAGGGAAACTCAAAGGAAACCACCCGTTTGGAAGGTCACTCAATGTCGAGACAAACGCATTTGGAGCCCAGCTACCGGCATTTCAGTGCAGAGCATTGAGGTTGGGATGAGGAAGTGTCCTTACCTGCCAAAAGAAGTCCGGACCCCGTTTGGGCCTGTCATTTTTTCAGGGTACTGTTTGTTTGTGGTTTTAAAGGGACACCAAAAGGAACGCCGAAGCCGTTTTGGGGCTCCCCGCAAAAAACACGACACAACCGTGTTGAGGACACCCACCCCAGAAGGCAGCGCCTGAGGACCCATCGAAGGATCCGCTGGAGGGGGCCAAGATCGCCTTGGCCAAGACGTTGCGCAAGGCAGACACCCCGACCCAGATGAACTGCATTTTTCGGGAGCTTTTCGGGTTTTGTATGGGAGAGTCTGACCCAGGACATCCATGTAGGAGGTGTTTGGAAGCTTTTGCTGGCCTTTGGTGCTTCGTTCATCCAGCTCCATGACATATAGATGAAGTGATACTGTGGATGGACGAAATCCATTTCGCACCACTTTTCAGAAACCGTGAAATGTTTCGATTCCTTTACACATACCAACAAACCATGGTTTCAACCATGGTTTCTCAGGTGGTGAGATTTCTAGATGTCGCAACCATCCGCAGATATGAATTGCATCCGTCAGCCATCATTGAATCAAGCCGTTGGGCTCAGCTGGCTGTTACTTTGGCATCATTGGCCCTCCGTGATGCCGTCAACCGTGCCTTTGATGCAGGAGCCCACGGGTGTGGAGGGAGACTACGTGGCGCCTGCAGCCAGGGACGTGTACTTCGCCCAGGAGCCCAATCTCATCGCAGCGTTTGATTTCGACTACCAGACGATCGTCGACTTTACGACGAGCTTGAGATGGGCCCAGCTGGTGTTTCTCCCCCCCGCCTGGTGCTCCGTGGCCTGCTGCTACCCATGCTTTCTGCAGCAGAACGTGGAGTGGGACGTGAGGTCCCAGCACGTGGCGCTGACCGTGGACGGCATCAGGTACGTGAAGGAGAGGCGGAAGTCCATGTGCGGCCTGCCCTGCACCGACAAGGGCCGAGAAAGCAAGACCGTGCCCTATGACAAGATCACGGACTGTGACGTGATGGAACCAGCTGGAACCGCGTGTTGCTGTTGCATTCAGAACGTGCTGTCGAAGGTGCACGTGGACACAGCCTCCAGCGGTGTTGGTGGTGAGGGCGGCGTGCGGCATGAGCTTGCACTACATGGCCTGGTGGACGCGCCAGCTTTCAAGCATTCCGTCTGGGCCATGAAGCGACGGGTGGCTCCTGCCGGTGCTCAGGTGCCCCTGGGGCCCCGCAGCAACGCTCCAGGACAGATGGAGATGCAGATCAGTCTCCTTACCGAGATTCGGGACGAGCTCAAGCACTTGAATGAGACCATGGATAGCCGAAAGTAAGTTGAAGCGGCCAAGCTGAGCTGGTCACTTGGACCAGCTATGCGGCCCGACAGTGTTTTCAAATTTGGAAGGTGACAAGATTGCCGACAAGCCGCGCCATCATCGGGCTAAGCTACTGATGCGAGCGGCGTGCTAGGCCCATGTGCAGAGCGGGCCAACAGCTTTGCGCCGTTTCGAAGCGTGAAAAGCGTGGATTGGGTTCCGTTTCGGAAGCAAACAAATCCAAAAACAAGAGATGGCCATGGGGCATAACCTATGGCTCCATTTTGGGGTGGATGAAGATCCATTTGGAGCTTATTTTGATGTTCACCAGGGGTTTGCTGGGTTTTGACCCACAGCCAGATCTGAATTGCAGTTTTTTTGGAAGCTTTGGCCAGAGCCGTTGGCCAGCGGCTCCATCCCATTGCAGGTCTTGAAGAAAGCGAGCCTCAGGCGCTGGGTTTGGATGTTCGACCCGCTGGGTTCCGGCGCTCAGCTTTTTCGTTTTGTGCCGAGGAAGCTGACGGACGAGAAGACCATCATCTTCTTGCAGGGGGACCGGCATGCTTTCAGGTACCCCTTTGGTTTGGTGGTTTGGTGGTTTGGGGGGTCAAGTCCCTTTGAAAGCAAGCGGGGAAAGAAACCTGAAACGGTCGAGACCAAGCAAACCAAACCACCAACTGGGGATAAGCTGATGCTGCAGCTGTTGCAGCTGTTGCTGCTATTGCTGCTGAGTTGTGTGTCGTGGCCACTTGTTTGTCGAGCATGACCATGTCAGCGTTGAAACTTTTATTTGATGTGGCGTTCCGCGGACTTCTCTAGGACATCAACAGCCGCACGGTGTTGCGTGGCAGCGAGGCGGTGATACGGTCTGTCATCTCTAAGATGATCTCCATGAGAAGTGCGGGTTGATCAATGCTCCTGGCCCCCAAATGACCAGGGGTAACTTTGCCCATTTGGTGGGACTCTTTCTTTGATCACCCCCCAAGTGAGGGAGATCGCTTTCTCTCCTTTCGAGGGGTTTTCTGCGAGGTGAACGATGCCTTGCTGGAGGTCTTGGAAGATGAGTCGCTGCAGTCAGCGATGCAAGCAGAGGTGCGCTTTGGATTCCAAGGCAGACGTGTAGGGCCAGGAATCGGTTCCCTATTTGAGGGAGTCAATCCCTGTTTTTAAGTGAGGCTGTCAAGTTCTTTGAGGCTTCCCTTTTTGGGGGTAGGAAGACCAAGAGAAAACCATTCGTTTCGGGGTCCCAAGTCCACCTTGAAGTGACCACATTGCGTGTGTCCTCTTGTTTGGGGGAACCTGCCTTTGGTTGGTTTTCAAAATGAAGCCCACAAGGAAGAACCAACAAGGTAGGGGGGTGCCAAACTATTTTCAAGATCCCCCGAAACTGAAAACAGGGGTCCCTACATTTCCTCTTTTTTTAACCTCACCTTTTTGGCCCATGGAGGTGGGTGTCCCTTGGGGTGATGTTTCCAGGGGAATTTTTTTTCCGGCGCCCAAGCCGGAGAACCCCCGGAAACCGCGCGCGCGGAGCCGCTTCCGCGCGGCCGCGCGCGGCGTCAGTTGGAGCTGCCCCCCGGGCGGTGGCGCGAAGTGGTGCCCCACCACAGCGCCGCGAGCTGAGAGATGCTTCGGCCGCTCGGCCGCTTCGGGCGCTTTGGTGGCCGGATGTGGCCGATCGGATGCGGTGGAAGAGTTGCGTGGGCTGAAGAGTTGGGCGGTTGTGGTTTTGAGCGGGTTTCACTGGTCAATCCGTTTCGGCCAAGGAGTTCTGAGGCTGAGGTTGGCTGGCTTTCTTTTGGGGGTTTAGGTGGTTTGCTTTGGGTAAATATTGGTTTGGTTTAGTAGGTTTGGTTGGGTGGTTTGCTTTGATTAACAGGTTTGGTTTGGTAGAACAGGTTTGGTTGGGTGGTTTAGGTGGTTTGGTTTGATTCATGGTTCCTACCTTGGTTTCTCAAGGGGCATTACAAGGTCTACCATCGCCAGGTTTTGATTCTCCAACAGTCAGCTCATTTTTGTTCGAACCGGGCGCTCATCTCATCTCTTGAAGTGAGCTCCGTTTGAGATGTCAGATGGGTTGTTGGCTCGAGCTTACTTCGCCAACGCTCAGCAGGGAATGAGAAATGGAATGACCGATAGAAAAAGCACATTCCCGGTTTGGTGCCCTGTTTCCCGGAAATCCGAAAAAAGGAAACCATTGGGATGGTTTCTGGGGGTGATTCCATTCAAACACCCTTTCCCATGGTTTCCTTTCTTCGGGAATCCCACAACGGTTCATTCCAATTCTCATGCCCTACTGATTTCGAGGTCAACGACCTGCCGGTGACGTACAAGTTCAACGCCGAGAAGTCCTGCCAAACTGGCAACAGCCCCGCGCCTGGCGAGGATTTTGGATTTTATTCGTCGGTCGGCGGAGCAAAATACCTGGAGTCTCCATGACCCTCCAAATGATGGGTCATTGCGCAAAATATCAGCCATTTCTTAAGCGTCAGCGGAAGTCCATACCCAGAAGGGAATTCACCAGCCACAAGTTTGGGCTGCAGCAAACCAGTTGCAAGGCTGGGAATTTTGAGGGTCCGGGAACATGGGTTGGTCTCAACATGGGCGCCTGGTCAAGTCGGTCCCAATGGATTCAGGCCCCGTGCGCTCGGGAAGCCGGTGACTCAGTCCCAGCCAGAAATTGCGGAGATCCGCCTTTGAACTTCCTTGGATTGAGACCATCCATCGGTTGTGATGGTGGCTCACTTGCGTACCGATCTCTGGACCTCCCTTCTGCCGCTTTGAATGTGGCCATTTTGCACGGACCCCTCAGATGCTCCGGGAGAAGAGAAAATTGCAGCTTTTATGCAATGCTGATTCCAGTTGCCCTATGGCTCCTAGCTGGCTGTACTTCTTTGCGTTGGCGAGTTGACCGCAGCCCAGGCAATGATCCAGAACATTACCTCACCATAGGCGCAGCTCCAATAGCAGATGCGCAAGATAGCATGCGTTTCTAGCAGATGCCAAAGATAGCCCTTGATACCTCAGTGTTTGCCCAGGTGACGTGATGTCCAAAGCGACCGGGACCCAGCGGCCGGGAGCGGTTCGAATGAAGGGCTTGGTATGTTTGCATCGATCGCCTTGCCCTCCCCTTTTTGGGATTGGTTTACAGAGAAGCCGAAAGGAGGGCCATGACGTTTGGGGATCATAGGGTGCTTCCCCCCAAAACATGGCCTAGAGGGTTTTTCTCCTTGGGGTTTCCCTTTTGGAACCGAGCTGGGTCGACGAAGAGCGAGACACCTCCCCCCGTGGCCACTTTCTTTCGCCACATCGAGGCGCCTGCGCTCTTTTTCCGAAGCTCCGGAGCTTCGGAACGGGCCAGCGCCCCCAGCGGCCCCAGCGGCGGTGGCTCAAAACAGCTGCGGAGGGACGCCAAGGGAGCAGTCGCGGCAAACCAAGATATCGCTCAGGAGTCAAACGGAGCTTTGGCCATGGCCGCAAGCACTCCAAAATGATTAAACACAATGCAGCGTTCAAATTTGCAAAACTTGCACTTTGGACATTTTGGAAGGACACGTGGCTTTGGACAATTGGAAAATCGTTGCACCTTGCACTTTTGCCACTTCTTCTTGTTGTTCTCTCCGTCTGTAAGTTGTTTTTTTTCTGGGTCTTTTACCTTGCTTTTTCTTGCTTTTTCTTGCGTTCCTTGATTCCCTGCTGTCTCTTGCTTCTCTTACTTCTCTTGCTGTCCATTGCTGTCTCTTGCTTCCGGTACTTTTGGCTCGGTGGTTCCTTTGGCCACAGCTTCTTTTTGGGACAAGCCTGCACACTTCATGTACTGTTGCCAGTTGCGTACCTTTTCCCCCTGCGCAACGCACAAGCATCCGTGCCCAAACCGCTCTCGAATTTCGTGCAGAGCGTGTCTTGCGCGACATTTGAATTGGATATGCAAGCGATACACAGAGACACACGAGCAAAGGCATGACCGAAAGGCGAGCGACCCCCCGAAAAGACATTAGTAATGAGATTGACACCCCCCCCAAAGAAGTTGAGAACAGAAGCGGCAAGGAGAAAGAACCACAGCGCTTGCTGCATCCCAAGGTCTTGCTGAATCTCAGCAGGGAATGAGGGATCACAAGGAACCAACAAGATGTTGGACACTGCCCCAGGAACTGGACGCCTACGAGCTTCTCAACAGCCAACTGCACGCATATAGCTAGGTTGCACCAACCAGGATTAGAGGCTCCATTTTGCAACAAATGTTGAGGATGCCTTCTTGATTGGCTGTAATACACAAAGATATCACATCCTCATTCTTTGGTGTGTGTAGCACAGCAACATATCAAAGAACCTGATTTGGACCCCAAAGGAACCTCACAAATAGACAAGGACACGTGTGGCTGTGAGGGGACAATGGGAAAGGCTCCAGCACTTTTCGGCAGCGTTTGTGAGGCGCAGGATGCCCGTTCCTCGTTCCACCAGGATGTAACATGTTTCAGGCGTGACATCATAAATAGATCGCGACTCGACCATGGGTTGCGCTTGCCTAGCCGACCTCGGCTGGCCAAAGGTGTGGCTTTCAGCACGGCTTGTACAAGAGGACCGTGGGTCATTCACATTTCACCTCGGGGGAGGCAGCGCATGCGCACAGCGGCCATTTCAGCAGGTGGTTCTACTGGGTTTAAGAGGGATTATAGTAAGGCCTCTCCCTTTACAACCAGTGGAACCAAACGTCAATGGGTTTTGGGGGCTGCTTAAGTCTGCAAATCGCTCTCCAAAAACACCAACGGCAGGGTTCGAATGCTCTGAGCGCTCGGCGCAGTTTGAGGACGTCAAGTTCTGCGGAAGCCAACACCAATGCCTAGAGGGAGTGCCAGGGCTCCACTCCTTTCTGCTCCCAAGCCATTGCGCGCTTTCTTGGATCTCAGCATCCTAAAAATAACGGCGCCAGAAGCTTGGCGCCTCCTGACCCACCGCCCACCACGAATTGGCCTCCGCCCGCCGCAAAAAACGGCCGGCGCGTCGGGTTCCGCGGCCTGGCCCGCGAGGACTTTGGCGAGCCTCGGGGAGTGGTTGGACACCTGGGGCGTTGCGCTCCCGCCAGAATTACTTGTTCCAGGACTCCAGGACCTATCTTGTCGTAAAACGTAGGCGTTTGCACCCCCCAAAATGGGCGGGTCTCGCGGGTTTGCGGTTGAGTGCCCTTTCAGCCAACCTTAAAAAGGGTAGCCTCAGAAAAGCACAAGCCCATCTCGGCCTACCTCGGCCAAACGCGTTGAGGGTGCTTTACCCGAGAATCCACTCGCCTTTCGCCTTTTTGGGGACGAATTTCCAGGTTGAACCAGGTCGACAAAGGTTTCAGGGTTTGTGATCTGCCTTGCACAACAGGGAACAGACCCCCCGTACATTGGAGTGTTCATATGTTTCTGCCAAATCACAAATTTGGATGTGTGTCAAACAAAATAGGAGAGGACCCCAACTTGTTTGCTTTCCTCTGGGTTTCCCTGTAAGGGCGCCCTCAAAAAACCAATATCCCTTTGGAGTAGTGAGTAGAATTGCTTGCCTTCCTTTGGTTTTTCCCTGTAAAAATAATTGGCGCCCCCGCCATTTGGAGAGGTGTCCCACCTTTGCGTCGCTCCCGGAATCGAACGCAACGCCAGGCCTTCAAGCAGCACGACTTCCGCTCCTTTCGGTGGGCTCCCTAGCGTCGTTGCTGTCGCTGATAACGGTCACAAGTGGATACCTGTTTAAATGTTTTTTACTTCCGGAGTCCATGAACTTTGAACTTTTTGGGAAGACCGTTTTAGTGGTAAATCTAAATTGGGGCCATCCACTCAGCACGTGGATGCCTCGTCTGCTTGGAGGGTACTGTCAGGATCTATTTAGAACCCGTCCCATTAGGGAGGTGAAAACCCCTCCAAAAGTTCCGAATCCAACCACAAACAGGGGATACCCCCTATGAATCAACCAGTTGGGTTTATTAGTCCGGGGTTAGCTTTTCCCTTGTCACCTGAAGGTTCAAAGGGACGCCAAAAGGCCGGCCATGATCTTAACGGGCCCCTCTATTTTGACACATGGCTGTGGGTCAAACCAATGGGATCCCATTTTGGGGTAGATGAATTCACCGCCCATTTTAGAACCTATTTTATTGGTTGGATTGAATCGGATGTTCACTGGGGGCGAACCGGTTTGGCTTTTGAGCCATGGCCACATACCACGAACTTCAGAGCAAGACATCTCCCCCAAGCTTCAGAGGAGGAGATCTCCCTCGAGTCCACAGGAAGTGTTCGCCACACGCACGTGGAAGCTTTGGCACTTGTTGATGTGTGTGGCGTTGGGAAGCTTGGGTAGATTTCTTTACATAGGTGACCCAAATCCCCAAACATGGTGCTTCCCTCCTTCCCCAGAACTTGATTGCTGTTGGGTTGGATCTTTAGACTTTGACTTTTTGGGAATCAAGGGATTTTCCCACGAAACCCACCAACAGGTTAACCTTTTCGCAAAATGAGTTTTGGGTAGCTTCCCAACATTTTCCCAAAATAGGTCACCCAGAACCCTAGTTTTTGGAGTAGCTTCCCGCCTTGCCCCAGAAAAAAGACCAGGAGAAGTTGGGGTATGTACGGTACCCTCCATGGCCATATGGCTGTGGCTCAAAACACCGGAATACCAAAATGGGTTGCCCTGGTAAGTGGAAGCATGGACCAAAACCTGCGGTTTGCCCCTCCTGGTTCATTTTGAGTCCCACACCCATATGGCTGGATTTCCCCTTCAACTCCTGCCAGACCAAAAAAAGACCACCGTTCCACCGCCTTGCCGAGGTTCCCGGCCTGCGCTGACCGAGTCATCTACTGGGCCTCCGATGAGCTGCACGACTACCTCTCCTTGGAGCTCCCTCGCGGGGGCTACGAGGTCGGAATCGGGGATTTGGCAAGCCACGAACGGGGGGGAGTTTACTCTATGAGCAAGTTCTTTTTGGTTTCGTGGAAATTTGTGGTGCAAGTAGGTTATGACTCCCTTGGCTTTTTATGCCCACCGACCCCCAGTTACCGCAGCTCTAAGCTTGATTCTGTCCTTACCCGCCGTGTTTCTTTTCTAAGCTCCGAGTGGATGCGGAAAGCGATAGGTGAACCACGGCCAACTCGGGAGTGATCATCGCCCGGTGAGCCTCGAGGTCGGCTCCAGCGAAGATTGTGAGGACTCACTTGGGGGTGGCTCAAAATTCAAGAGCTAGGGTTGCGCAGGGGTTGGTCTTTGTTTCCATTTGACAGGATGCCATGTTGGGTACCATTTTTTTCAGCCACAATGACACTAATAAATGAATAAAGCCAGTGCTTCTCCCTTATTTTCTGGTCAACTCAACCCAAAAGGGGCCCTTTTGGAGCCAATGGGATGTGAGGTGGTTTTGGGGCAAGTTTTGACCACCAGGATATGGCCCGCAGGGCCTTTCCCGATCGGGCAATCGTTCCATTCTGGGTGTTACCCTATGTTTGACCAGCCAATTCACCGGGGTCCGCTTCCTACTTTGAGACACACCCATTTGGGTATAGGTCAAAACTAAACCGCAGGTTAAATCGACCCTACTGTGGATGGACAGAATCCTGCACCACTTTGAAGCCACGAGAAACCATTGTTTGTTGGTATTTACAGTGGAATCAACATTCCAGGGCTTAGGTGGTGCGAAGTGGATTTCGGCCATCCACCGAATGCTAGACAGCTTGACAACAGCCAGGTGGTCATGAAGCTTTACTCCTCCAAGATCAGACACTCGACTCATCTGAAGCCGGCCGAATCCTCAGCTCCGCGAAAGAGTCGAGCGAGCGAGCGCTTGCAGCGAGTGCGCCGTCCGATCGCTCCAGGCGCGCAGCTTTATGGGCGAGGCGTTGGCGCTTCCCAAGTGATTGTAATTCATATATATATATATGTATATATGTGTGTTTATTCATCACTAATCAACAGCAATTACATTATTTATTTACTTGTTTATTGTACTAGCATATATATATATATATACACACACACGTATTTTACGGTGTTTATTCTTCTCCCCCAATTTGGAGGGTAGCTTTGACCACACAGTTCTCTGCTTTCCTTTTTTTGGGAGGATACCCCTGTCAAGGGACACCCAAGCACTCCCGTCGAAGGGACAGCCGCCGCAGGGCTATCTCTCCGAAGCGGAGGATCTCGCATCAGAGGAGCTCAAAGTTGGGGGCGAATTTGGTTCCGGGGTTCCTGTTTCATTTCCTGGTGGTTTGACACTTGGATGTTCGGCCAAGTCAGCAAGTGGTTAGCCACCTGGGTCACAACCCACCAATAACAAGGTTAACTCCGCGTAGGAAGGCTTATACGTGGGTTATAACCTAGGTTAGCTGTACAACTTCCCAACTGGGCGAATCGAACATTCAAGCAGGGTTTGCGGGCCATCTCCCTTTGTGGATCCCCCCAAAAGTGGGTCGATCGTATGGACGCCACCCCAGCCAAATTGATCAACTTACGCGGGGGGTTCCGGGCAGCCCCTGTTTGAACTATCAACCTTTTGGAAAGGCCGATTGGGTCTGTGAAAATTGAACCCGGAAACGGACTGCAGGTTTCTGCTCGTGCATGGCAACCACTTTACGATCTGGCAACCCGTTGTGGAGTTGCCGACGATTTTTGACCAGCCAATTCAACTGTTGGAGAGTTCAAGGTGAGTTTCCTGAGCGATGTGAGGGGGGAAGTAAGTCGATGCAAGAGACCAGCGATATCCAACCCATCTTTTCGAGGATGTTCAAGATGACCTCTCACAGCCTGAGCCAACGGTGCGGACAGATGGCCGTGGGTCAAAATCCCGTACCCCCAGTGAACATCCCAATCCCCAGTAAAATAGGTTCTAAAATGGGTGGTGAATTCACCTACCAACCAAAATGGGATCCCAACACGGTTTTGCACAACCAGTCGGTAGCGAACCACGGCCAAGCAAAACGTTTGACTCGGAGCCTTCCTGCCCTCAGGAGGATCCAGATGACCTCTACGAGGCCACGCCAAAGACGGTGGCATCATCACCGCCAGCCTTTGGGAAGGCCACCGGAGCCGTTTTGGGTCGGTTTGGTCAGAAATCGGCGGAGGTTCCAGTGGTTTAGATTGGTTTTATGCCATTGATCCGGGCCATCTCATTGGCCAAGAGATTTCTATGTTTGGGTGGCTCGTCGGTGTGTGAGTGAGGGAAGGCTCTGTTTTTCTTCTTCTTCTTCTTTTTCAGGTGCAACCAAAAGGACACCCGAAAGGCGAAATCCATTTAAGTCGTGAGTTCCCTATGTTGAGAAGTTTGTTTGCTTCTTAGATTGCCTGGTTTGATTTGTTGGTCGGGCCGGTTCCGGACGATCTCCTCAGAGACTTGTAGCTGTCGGTGGCTCGTCTTGTTGATTCCGTACCATTGGCAACCTGAGAGACTTGTCCGGACCCAGTCTTCCATTGAACAGTGATTACTCGCAGGTAGACTTGGGTGTTTTTCGGGCAGGACCCGATTTTTAAGACTTCTTGAACCCAGAGGTTTTCCTCTTGGGACGTTCAACCCCGTTTAAGTCTGACTTGGGGTCCGAACATTTCTCAATGGAACCCGGCTGCAATCGGCTGCAGACCGTGGGATGTCTTCTTTCCAGCGGGTTGGGTGAGCCACTGGCTCAAAACCAATTCGGGTAGATGAAGGTTAGGGACAATCTCAACTACAAATGGGTGTCACCGCCTCCTTTCTAATTCTTTACATGGTTCTGGTACATTTTAATTCCAGGTTTTGCTTGTGACTCAGGTGTTGCTGTAAAACCGGTTGGGCTCATGCCGCCATTGTAGTGGGTCGTGAGTGTCAGTGAATATGGCACCATGATCTACACCTATCCTGTAAAGAGCATTGGTACAGTCGCCAAGAATCTGCCGGTCAACCGTTATGGATGGGGCCAATACCAAGAAAAAAGAGTTGCCAAAATCGGTGGGTCGTGAGCAGTGAATCTGGCACCATGATCTATACCTATCCAGTAAAGGGCATTGGTACAGTCAGAATCTGCCGGTCAACCGTTATGGATGGGGCCAATACCAAGAAAAAAGAGTCGCCAAAATCGGTGGGTCGTGAGCAGTGAATCTGGCACCATGATCTATACCTATCCAGTAAAGGGCATTGGTACAGTCAGAATCTGCCGGTCAACCGTTATGGATGGGGCCAATACCAAGAAAAAAGAGTCGCCAAAATCGGTGGGTCGTGAGCAGTGAATCTGGCACCATGATCTATACCTATCCAGTAAAGGGCATTGGTACAGTCAGAATCTGCCGGTCAACCGTTATGGATGGGGCCAATACCAAGAAAAAAGAGTCGCCAAAATCGGTGGGTCGTGAGCAGTGAATCTGGCACCATGATCTATACCTATCCAGTAAAGGGCATTGGTACAGTCAGAATCTGCCGGTCAACCGTTATGGATGGGGCCAACACCAAGAAGAAAGAGTCGCCAAAATCGGTGGGTCGTGAGCAGTGAATCTGGCACCATGATCTATACCTATCCTGTAAAGGGCAGTAGTACAGTCGCCAAGAACCTGCCGGTCAACCGTTATGGATGGGGCCAACACCAAGAAAAAAGAGTTGCCAAAATCGGTGGGTGGTGATCAGTGAATCTGGCACCATGATCTATACGTATCCTGTAACGGGCACTGATACAGTCGCCAAAAGTCCAAAGGTCAGAGGACATGGAATCATCATTCCAGGGTTTGTTAGGTGGTGCAAGATTTCGTCCATCCACAGTATCTCTTGCCAGGCGGCTTCCCTGAGCAGCCGGCGCCTGTTTGCAGACGGCGCCGCTTCAGAGGATGAAGGGACTTAGAGGATGAAGCGCCGTCGGACAGCGAGTCCGTCGAAATGTGCCTTGGACATGTAACTCAGCACGGGAGGTGTTTGACAATTTCATCTTGTTCGCTCGTCTCGTTTGCCCTCCCTGGAGTTTCTTCCGGAAGATGCCCGTGGCACGGCGAGGGAACAGACGGCAAAGCCGTCAAAGCTGGCAAGCGCGGCGCCTGCTTTATGCAGCGCGTGCTTCATGTTGGCAAGTCTTTAGTCACACCCTTTGGAATTCTGGGGAACCAGTTCCCAGAGGACGTACTAGGTCTCCCAGTAGTTCACTTTTACCTCTTTTTGTTTGGGAGGGTTCCCCTACTAAAATAGACTACAGAAAAAGAATCGGGCATTTATTCCAAGCTCTCTCCTGGAGGACCTAGCATACTTTCTCTTTTCAAGTGCGGCAATGCTTCGGCGTGAAGCCTGAAGCTGAGCTGCGAGCTAGCGAGCGAGTGCCGTTGGAAGCGAGTAGTGGTGCCCTTGATGTTGGCTATGCGTTCATGTGGGTGTAGCTCAAAATTAAACAGGATGGGGTTACGCAGGTTTTGGTCCATGCTTCCACTTACCAGGGTTCCGATTTGGTACCGGTTTGTTGAGGTACAGCCATGTAAGGCTCAGACATCTATCGACGGCGCTGTCGGCGACATTAGTTGCCGAATTTCCTTTGCCAGGGCAAGGGAGGAGGTGCCAAACTCTGGCTGCATGGTCGCACGGTCGCAGAGACCGTGCTCTTGAATTTTATCATTGTCCGTATTAACCCTTCACGGGCATTCGAACCCTGAAGCATGTGGCGCTCAATGAAGCTGGTTCCTAGAATCAGCATTCCTGTGCTCAGCATTAAGTCGTCTCACTCTCAAGACGGCGAACCATGTAATCATGCTTTGCTTTCGAAATTGCGAGAGGTTTGTCTTGGCTTGAGGTTTCTTTCCCCGGCAATTTTCCGGCCCTTGCTGCTTGCCCTCAAGTCCCGGGTCATACAGAGGACTGTGCAACCCTTTTGCTCAAACCCGCAGGGTTGGCATTGGCTAAGAGGGGCGTACCCGATGCGGGGATCAAGGGAGAAAGTTGGTGAGGGATCTGTGACTTTGAGAGGTCTTGTTGAATCACCAGTTCGATGGAACATTGCCTAAGACTGGCATGAGAACTTAGGAGTCCCGGAAAAAAAAAGACACAAACAAAGCCAAGTGCCACGCCATGGCTTCTGCGGAGCAGAAGGCAGGTCCCGCCGACTCCCTGAGCTTGGATCTTCGATCGGCCCCAAAAGTCCCAGAGGCCAATGGGGGTCCGGGGCCAGAGGCCTTCCCAGTGCCTGCGCTTGGGATGGGGCGAAACAAAATGAGTTGGCAGAGGTCTCAGGAAAAAGCAACAACAAAAAGCGCCGAAACACCAAGACAAGGACCCCTGCGCCCAACCCTCAGAGCAAATCCTTTTCCCCCCAACCCCCGCCCCCTGCCCTCTGCCCACCCGACATGAGGCTCGATACCTGGCAATGAGGCAGGCCGTGGAGATGATCGAGAGCCAACCTGGTCTCTGCGACTGTGAGCAGAAGTATGCCAAGGACATGCGACGCCTTCAACAGGAGCGAGGGAACAGCGAGTCCGTCAGGGGTCCCAATATTTACTCTCGAAAAGTGTAATTCGTAATTCGCTACGTAATGAAAGTTGCCGCCGCCGCCCAGCGAAGAGCGACGCGCAAAAGTGGAGTTTGAACGACGCGACAGCTTCTTCTCACGAGCGGAGACTAGGTGATGCTAGTGATGCTGGGGGTGTTGACTACTTTAGGCGACAGACCATCAGTCCCCCAGTAGTGCCCGTTTACCTTTTTTTGTGGAGGGTTCCCCTCAAATAGACTACAGAAAAAATCGGGTGCCCATATTTCAACCTCTCTACGGACCTAGGAGAAACGCGTCCTTTTCTGAAGCACGTCAGCGGGGCCATTGGCCGGAAGCGAGCAGGGACCGCCCTACGTGCCCTGCCCACGTTGTCATGGCACTTGATCCCTTGAAAAGGAGGGTATCATATATATATATACACATACATATATAAATATGTAATGTATGTATGTATGTATGTATGTATGTTATGTTATGTTATGTAATGTATGTATGTATGTATGTATGTATGTATGTATGTATGTATGTATGTATGTATGTATGTATGTATGTATGTATGTATGTATGTATGTATGTATGTATGTATGTATGTATGTATGTATGTATGTATGTATGTATGTATGTATGTATGTATGTATGTATGTATGTATGTATGTATGTATGTATGTATGTATGTATGTATGTATGTATGTATGTATGTATGTATGTATGTATGTATGTATGTATGTATGTATGTATGTATGTATGTATGTATGTATGTATGTATGTATGTATGTATGTATGTATGTATGTATGTATGTATGTATGTATGTATGTATGTATGTATGTATGTATGTATGTATGTATGTATGTATGTATGTATGTATGTATGTATGTATGTATGTATGTATGTATGTATGTAATGTATGTATGTATGTATGTATGTATGTATGTATGTATGTATGTATGTATGTATGTATGTATGTATGTATGTATGTATGTATGTATGTATGTATGTAATGTATGTAATGTAATGTAATGTAATGTAATGTAATGTAATGTAATGTAATGTATGTATGTATGTATGTATGTATGTAAATGTAATGTATGTATGTATGTAATGTATGTAATGTAATGTAATGTATGTATGTATGTATGTATGTATGTATGTATGTATGTATGTATGTATGTATGTAATGTAATGTATGTATGTATGTATGTATGTATGTAATGTAATGTAATGTAATGTAATGTAATGTAATGTAATGTAATGTAATGTAATGTAATGTAATGTAAATGTAATGTAATGTATGTATGTATGTATGTATGTATGTATGTATGTATGTATGTATGTAATGTATGTATGTATGTATGTATGTATGTATGTATGTATGTATGTATGTATGTAAGTATGTAATGTATGTATGTATGTATGTATGTATGTATGTATGTATGTATGTATGTATGTATGTATGTATGTAATGTTTGTATGTATGTATGTATGTATGTATGTATGTATGTATGTAATGTATGTATGTATGTATGTATGTATGTATGTATGTATGTATGTATGTATGTATGTATGTATGTATGTATGTATGTATGTATGTAATGTATGTATGTTGTATGTAATGTATGTATGTATGTATGTATGTATGTATGTATGTATGTATGTATGTATGTATGTATGTATGTATGTATGTGTGTATGTTATGTATGTATGTGTGTATGTTATGTATGTAATGTAATGTAATGTAATGTATGTATGTATGTATGTATGTATGTATGTATGTATGTATGTATGTATGTATGTATGTATGTAATGTATGTATGTATGTATGTATGTATGTATGTATGTATGTATGTAGGTATGTAATGTATGTATGTATGTATGTATGTATGTATGTATGTATGTATGTATGTATGTAATGTATGTAATGTAATGTAATGTATTGTAATGTAATGTAATGTAATGTATGTATGTATGTAATGTATGTATGTATGTATGTATGTATGTATGTATGTATGTATGTATGTATGTAATGTATGTAATGTATGTATATATGTATGTATGTATAGTATGTATGTTATGGTATGTATGTAATGTATGTATGTATGTATGTATGTATGTATGTATGTATGTATGTATGTATGTATGTATGTATGTATGTATGTATGTAATGTAATGTATGTTTGTATGTATGTATGTATGTATGTATGTAATGTATGTATGCATGTATGTATGTATGTAATGTATGTATGTATGTATGTATGTATGTATGTATGTATGTATGTAACGTACGTACGTATGTATGTATGTATGTAATGTATGTATGTATGTATGTATGTATGCATGCATGTATGTATGTATGTATGTATGTATGTATGTATGTATGTATGTATGTATGTATGTATGTATGTATGTATGTATGTATGTATGTATGTATGTATGTAATTTATGTATGTATTTATGTATGTATGTATGTATGTATGTATGTATGTATGTATTTGTAATGTAATGT